AAGCACAGAGCTGGAAGTCAGATGTGATGGTGCAGGTCTCTCAGACTTGCAGAAACCAAGACAGGGGCTGGAGGACATCCTCTCAGAAGAACACAAGAGGGCTGGGGGTAGAAGAGGCAGGTGGATTGCTGCAAGTTTGAGGCTTGCCTGGTCTGCACACATAGTATCAGCCTAGTCAGAGTGACAGAGTGATACTGTCTGTCAACACCCCACCTCCAGGCCCTAAACAAACAGATAGGAAACAGAAAGAAAAATAAATCATAAAAGGCATTGTTCAGATATAATCTGAGTGAGTGTGGGTTTCCCTTCACAGTGCTCCTTGGTTTTAGAAAGTATTTTGTGCTTTTGGCTAGAATTTAAGAAAGTCAGAAGGGACTATTAATGGATACTCCACCAAAATTGAATATTTGCAGTTAATTATTGCACATCTATGTATGTGTGTATTATGGTGTGTATGCATGCCATAGCATGCATGTGGAGTTCAGAAGAGCCCTGAAGGGAGTTTTAAAGTGTTCTGAGTAAGTAGTTGTTAATCATCAGGGGCAAACATCTGCAGAAAATAAAAAGGTAGCCCATCTTCAGCTTGTGAAAAGGGCCTATTCCTTTTCAACTTGATGAAAGGTCTACCCCTCTTCAACTGATAAAAGGGCCTATCTTTCTTCAACTTGCTGGTCAAGGGGGTTCCCATGGACTCCCCCAAACAATGCAGGCCATTGTGATTGCTCTTGGCTGCCCACCAGGAATTGGAAGGGTAAGATCTGATTGTGGAAGTCAGCCACCATATACATGAGTCATAGGATAAAAAAATCAAGCTAGTACTGACCTGGAATCTTCATCTGAACTGGCTAGCTTTCGTATTGCCAGAAGGCACTATGCAGGCTACCGAGAGAGAAAAGCCATTAATATCTTACCCAGCTGTGAACCCTGGGAGCTACAATAATGACAATTCTGGCAAGGTAGGCCCACTGGTGCATAGTGGCTTGCATGTTATGAGAGTAACTAACAATATTCTGGTTGGATTTAAGGCCTGACCCACAAGACAGACAGAACTCATACCTGGTACTGTTAACTGGATCAAAAACACATTGCTAGGTTGGTCATAGGCTCTAGGGGAAAACATGTTATTATTATGTTGCTAAATGGACATTGTATCAAACTGCCCTCTAAATACTTACCATTATGCCCTTAGATTATTGCAGCTCTCAACTCAGCAAAGACGCATCTTTTTGTTGTAGATAACAGTTAGTACAGAGACTCAAAACCAGTCACAGCATGGAGAATAAGAAACTGGGTGTTTCAGCCTAAATGGAACATCCACATCATGCCCCTCCTCCCAAAACTCAAAGACCATCATCACAGAAAGGTAAAGCTAGAGATTGTAGAGGGCTGCGGCTAAGCAGTGTTTCCAGACACGACAGGGCTGCTGAGCATAAGGCCTCCCAGTAGCTGTTTCCGTACGGATGAGATCCACACAGCTCAGCCCAGCAAAAATCCAGCATGCCTGGGAGAGGGGTCCAAAAAGTCCCTCTCATGGCTGAGGAACTATTGGCCACTAGGGAGGGTCAGTCAGTTTTCTTCAGGGATCCTGATCCTGGTAGCTGGCCCTTGCTTCAGTGAAAGGGTTTTCCACTCACATACCGACAACACTAAAGGGATTAGCGAGTTAAAAGAAAGAAACAAAAAAGTTGCACATGAATGAAAGATGGAGAAATGGTGTAGGAGTGTGGGTTGGGATGGGTTTGTTCAGAAAACATTGTATGTGTTGTTGGGGAGGTGGATCAGCAGTTAACAATGCAGAGTGCGCTTATAGAGAACCTCAGTCCAGTTCCCAGCACCACATCAGGTGACTCACAGCTGCCGAACTTCAGCATTGTAGACTTGTATGAAATTCTCAAAAAGGGGGGCGGGGCTTAAACAAGATGGTAGTATGTAACTCGTAAAATCCTGACAGATAGTTCACACTGTCATCATGTCTGTTAGTCTACTCTTCCCTGTTTCTTCCGGATACATAATTCACCTTTGGGTTCAGACCAGAGGCTTTTAAGGTCCAGACTTTGAGATAGAGAAACTGCTGAGACTTTTACATGGCTCCAGCTAGACACTGAGGTGTAGGGTGCTGTCTTTCCTTTTGCTAGTCATGTGTGTGGGTGTAATTTGGGATTTGTGCCTGGTGTACAAAAAGTACAGTAGATGTTGCTGGGCAGCTAGCAGTGCAAACAGTCCATGCTGCCCCGGGGGGCCTGTCAGTGTGATTGACACAGTGCTTTCTCATGGTGGGCGCTCACTATAAAATAGTTCCATGCGGGAGTGTTCTTACCGTACGAGAAAGCAGGTATGGTTTGAATACTTGCTTTCTACATGGTGCTATGGCAAGCTTGTCCATTCTCTTTCAACTACCTTTTACAAACAAGGACTATTAAATACCATATAAAATTTATTTCAGTTGTTTTATTGCTGCTGTTCCCCATTAATATGATGAAGCCTAATGTAAATCTCTTTTCATGTGCATATGATCCACAAGCCATTGCTCATAAAAGATGCCTAGCAAATGTTTTAGATTTTTTAAATTGATTGAATGGAAATAAAACATAGATGAATGCAAACATTTGATTTCCATAAAGGAAAGTTTATGTCTGCTATATACATAGAAGATTTTTTTTGGTCTTGTATGTGTATTTATTAAAAAGTTTTAGTACTTTAATTTGGCTTTCCGGGGAAAGTATGACAGATTATTTGTATATAAATAATTACTGTTAAGCAAGAAGTCACTGAAGGAATTATTAGACAGACAGCTTGTGTAATTCGTCAAAACTGGGCATTCTCAGTGCATTGGAGTGTTTTAACTTCAGGTACTTACTTATCTGTTTTGTTAACCATTTCTATAGAAAATGCTATTTCTTTTTCAGTGTTTCACTCAGGAAATTTTTTCGCTACGTAAAGATAAACAGATCAGTTTTTCCTCAGATATAGACAAAATCATATTCTTTTCTGAATCAGTTCACTCAAGGTTTTGTTTGCAGATTTGCCTGTGATAGCAGAACAAATGACACACCTGCTTGGCCGATAGACTTCATGTTAGATAACCTTTATATCACGTGGTCAAAATGCCTGGCAACAATGTGTAGGGAGGAACTATTTATTTTGGCTCTCAGTTTCATAGGTGCTAACCTGTCATGATGGAAGGACAGGTTGGAGCAGAGCTGTTCACATTTGATCATCCAGAAAGGAAAAACAGACCGGAGCCACTGCAGCCTTACAGACACATCCCCATGGTTATCTCCTTCCAGAGCCCTCTTACCCCACCTTTCACCTGTGTTGTGGTAGTATAGATCTGTCAAGACATTTATCCATTGCGTCGGTCAGTGTCTTCAGGTTTTAATTATCTTTGGAATGGCTTCACAGACATGGAGAGCTGTACTTCACTAACCTCTCAAATATTTATTCAGTCAACTTGATTTGACTAACCATCACAGAGTCCACGCCCTCTTTGACTTGGGAAAGTCCCCTGTTTCACACTAGACAGCACTTTAGCTGCTCTGTGGGGAAGGAGAAAGTGAATCTCACCCTGTCGCAGTGACAAGTGGTGGCAGCCTTTACTTTGCTTGACGCCACAGTGGATTTGAATGAAGACAAAGTCATACTTGTTGGGCCATGTGTACTAGTGCTTAGATGTTATCAGATTTCCAGGGTATGTGATACACTACCTGTATCAAGAAACTGTTTAGGCAAAAAAGAAAGGAAGGAAGGAAGGAAAGAAGGAAGAAAGGAACCATGGAAGGAACCATTTAGGCTATTTCATTGAATAGTCCCCGAAATCAAAGTTTTCCTTAAGTTCTGGAAGCATTGTAGAGTGCTAGTAAATTGATGTTGCTTGGAACATGATTTTTATTTATTTATTCATTTTATTTGTTTATTCATTCATCCATCCATTTGTTTATTTATTTATTTTACATGCCAACCACAGTTGCCCCTCCCTCTTTTCCTCCTGTTTCCTCCCCATACTTGCCTTCTACCCCCATCTACTTTGAACATGATTTTTACTAATTAGTTTGCTTTATATGTGAAGAAAGCAACTTTCAAACTTTTAAAAAAGTGATTAAAATAATTATGAAGTTATGAAAATAATGTCCTCAACAAAAATGCAGTTCCTAAATTAGTCCATTTGATGTTTGCGTCACTCTTATCCCAAGCACATGGATAGCCTTGTTGAATTGTGTGGTTAAACATTTTGGTTCTGAAGTAAGACAACTCTGGGTCACATGTGGTGCCTCCTCTTAAGCATGTGACATCGGTCAGACAAACCGTTTAGCTTTTCTGTGTTAGGTTGCATTTATCCCTGGAGAATAGTGATCCTTATAGAGCTGTTGTAGGTGTGGATGAGAGATGTGTGAGATGACTCGAGGGCCCGCCATGGATCAGGTTAGAAACTAATCTTTAAGGAGCAGCAGAGAATAGAACGAAGGCCACCTAGGGGTTAATAGAGTGGTGCTGACCACCAGGGAATAGGAGGATTCCTTAGCAGAACCATTAAACTGGCCCAAGCCAGAGAAGATTAGCATGGTCCCGAACAGAAGAGAGTGACGAGCGGTGGGTGGAATAGCAGAGATTACTGTAGCTTGAATTTTGAACAGTAATTGTTTTACATTTATTACAGAAATTATTTATTCTGTAATAAATACAGTGATGTTAAATAGAAGATGAGGAATAAGGAAAAATATAATGAATTCTATTCTGTCTAAAAGAATTTAGCAATTCTTTGCATGAAGATAAGCTAACATTGCTTTGCTTTACTGAGGATGCTGAGATGACCAAGGCATAGCTTCTGTGTTTAAGAAACTCTTTTTCAAGGGGAAAATGCAGAGGCAAAAGAAGAACACTCAGGCCTGTGCATCCATGACTGCCGAAGCAGATCCACGAGTAAATGAGCTTAGGGCACATTGGAAAGGTGCACGATGGTTCCGTTCTTATGACAGCCAATATTTCTCTTTCTCTTTCTTCAGTTGGAGAACACCAGTTGACAGGCCATAAAGTGGCAGTTAAGATCTTAAATAGACAGAAGATTCGCAGTTTAGATGTTGTTGGAAAAATAAAACGAGAAATTCAAAATCTTAAACTCTTTCGTCATCCTCATATTATCAAACTGTAAGTATTTTTGTGTTTGAAAATATAAAAAAGTCCTGAAATAGTTAAAGCAAAATTTTATAAATATCTTGAGTTAACTTTAAAAAATATCAGTTTTCATGTTCATATTCAGTTTTAATTTTAATTCATTTCACCTCTGTCAGTTCTTCGGTGCACATACGTGGTTTAGAATAAAAAGTCATTTCTTCAAAAGTGGTAGTATTCAAGTGGAAGCTGATTCGTCAGATTTCACTGTGAAGATTTCTCGGAATTGTATTGTTCTTAGGTTTGTTCTTTTGCTTCATCTATTTTTAATTTAAAAGTAATTTTAGGCCAGGTGTGGCAGCACATTACTGCAATTTCACTTGGAGTCCAGGACAGGGGAGTCTTGAGTTTGAGGTCAACCCCTGCTACTTAGTAAAACTGTCTTATAAATAAGTAGATCGATCGATCAATCGATCAATAGATAGATAGATAGATAAATGGAGAGCTACAAGCTAGTTAGTAAAATTGAAAAATAATTTAACTAGATATATAGAAAATTGAGATATTAATCAGTAATATTCTGTTGTTTAAAGTTCTATTTTTGTACAGGATAATGTAGGATTCTAGAATTACCTTTAGTGTACTTTAAAGCTTGGATGCAGTTTTTATACAATAAATACTAGTTTTGCTTAAGGATACTCAATGGTAGGCAGGAACTGGGCTGAGAATCCTGCATTTATAATTCCAAATTATTGGATGGCAAGTCTGTAAGAGGACAGCATCCTAACAGGGATAAACAACTAGGAAGGTACATTGTGGCTCCATGGTTCTACCCAGTCAAACTCAGGCATGTGAAACAATAGCTAGGTATGAACCCAATATTGTGCTTTGTAGGGCCAAATTATTTAGTGAGTTTAGTAGTAGAAATAGAAAGAGAAATCTGTGTCCTGATTCCAATAGGATTGCTGCATAAGAAAGCCTATTTAAGAATAACGATATTAGCACCTTTTAGATTTTGTTTGCTACTGTATTGAGAACAGAATAAACTATATTTAGCCTAGAATTAGTCAGTTAGTAATACTTTTTATTTTTTTTTTCAAACAGGATTTCTCTGTGTAACCTGAGATTTCCTGAAACTGACTTTGTAACTTGCTAGCCTCGAACTCAGACATCTGCCTGCCTCTGCCTCCTAAGTGCTCAGATTAATGCATGAACCACCACTGCCTGGCTAGTGATCAATCTTTTTAAAAATTATTATATTGTTTAAGAATTTTATATATGCATATATGTTTTGATCAAATCTACTCTATTCTTCCCTTATAGTTCCCCTCCCCCACTGTTCCTTTCCAACCTCAAAGCTCATATTTAAAGTCTCAGAGCACAATATTTGAATGTCATTGTTAACAGGGATCAACTTCCTAATCCTATGGTGTCCTGTCGTTTATTTGATGGTCAGCAGGATAATAGTCCTCCAAATGTCTGTGTCCTCACCTCAAGAACCTGTGAACGCTGTCAGTTACATTGCAAAACCCAAATATGTTTGCAGGTCATCTTATCTGAAAAGAGAGGGGTAGTTCTGGATGACTTGAGAGTCCATGTAAGCACAGTGGTTCTCTGAAGTAGCAGAGAAGGGTAGAAGGAAGAGTCAGAAAGAGACCTGTGCAGTTTATGAGCTGGTGTGAAAAGGACTCTGCTGGCTAATGGAAGCTTAAAAGGTGGAGGAAGGGGCTCTGAGACGACACAGGACAGCCTCCAAAAGCCAAAAACTCAAAGAGGAGGACTTTGCTCCTGGAGTCCCCAGAAGGCATCTTCATTCACGGCAAGCTTCTAATCCACAGAACTATAAGATAATGCGTGTGTGTTGGTTTCAGTCTCTTTACATTTGAAGTATGGAGGCAATGGAAACCAATGCAACACTATACTGGTTAGTTTTCATCAACTTGACCCAAACTAACGTTACCTGGGAAAAGGGAACCGCAATTAAGGAATTGCCTTGTCAATTTGGCCTATAGGAATGTCTGTGGGGCATTTTCTTGACTAATGACTGGAATTAGGGGATCTACCCCACCGTGGCCAGTGCCAACTCTGGGAAGACAGTCCTGGGTTGTGTAAAAAAGCAAGCTGAACAAACCATAGAGAGTGAGTGATCCAGTTAGCCGTGTTCCTTCACAGTTTTTACCTGCCTTTAGGTTCCTGCCTTCAGGTTACTGTCTTAAGTTCCTGCCCTTACTTCCTTTCACAGTGGGCTGTAATCTATAAAATGAAACTAACCCTTTCCTCCCCAGAATGCTTTTGGTCAATGTTTTATCACAGCAGCAAAGAAGCAGGCTAGAACAAACAGCTATTTGTGGTTTATTTTACCCCCAAGACAGGAAAGCCCTTGCTGTCCTGGAACTCAATATATGTACACCTGGCTGGCCTCAAACTTGCAGAGATCTTCCTGTCTCTGACTCCTAAGTGTTAGAATTAAAGACAGGTGCCATGCCCAGCTTGTGAATTCCTAAAATGAGTGGTTGGTGCAATTATTACAGACTTTGAAATGTTTATTTGTTTTTAATTGTTGTACTTTTTTTCAGTGAACTATTGCAAATTAAAGTATTTGGTGATGGAGCCCACACAGTGTCATCTTGCCAGCAGTAAGAATATGCCGCTGTCTGTCCCTGCCTGACTGGTACTTGGTTTGCTGTGTCTCTAGGTGACACAGTTGGCATGAGATATAATAAGCGTCAATGCTTTGTGACACTTACGTTAGGTTTACTCCATCACAAACATAGAATCATGTGGCAATATTTGACTTTAAGACTATGTCCAGTACCAGGTGATAGATGACCCTAGGGGTAATGTACTTCTCCCATTCATTTTCTAACTTTTGAATGGGGTGCTTCATAGTGTTGTGTAAGAAGTGACTGTTGGCATTGATGGAATGCCTAGTTTGTGATAAGCATTGGCACAAAAGCAGGCATTGGCCTCTCATGAACTGATTCTTCTTCAGTTAGCTGAAACAGTCATATGTTTTGTTTTTTTGTTTGTTTTTAAAGACAGTCTTGCTGTGTAACCTAGCCTGGCTCAGGACTGCTGGCTGACCTTAAAATCAAATTCACAATCCTGTATAATCTAGGCAAACTGACAGTCCTGTGTTTGCCTCCCTAATGCTGAAGTTCTAGGCCTGTGACACTGGCCCTTCTCACATCTGACTCGACTCCATGTGTGTAATGACGTCAGGGGCACGCAGACGAAGTCTCTGGTTTTTCTGCTTAGTAGCTATTGTGAATGAGGAGAGAAACCTTAAATGGCCAGACTTTATGCTTCAACTTCACTTTCAGAATGCTAACCCTGAAAGCTCCCGCTTGGGGTATGTGACCTAGATTTGTTCTGTTCTTGAAAACACAGATTGCATTTGCTATGGTTCTAGTTTAATTTTTGTTGCTGTGATGAAAATATCCAGCCAAAAGCAGTTTAGGGGAGAAAAGGACTTGCTCCGTGTATTATTACAGGTTACAGTCTATTGTGAGGGGAAGTCAAGTCAGGAACACCGCAGCTAGTCACTCTTGTCCACAGCCAAGGGCAGAGAGAAATTGAATGCACTCCTGCTGGTTGCCTGCTGCATGCTCATACTCCGCTAGCCCTTCTCATTCTTGAGCAGTTCAGGGTCTACCCCATAAAGTGGTGCCATCCACAGCAGGCTGAGTCTTCTACAACAGTTATCAACATGACCACTCAGTTTCCAACAGACCAGTCTGATCTAGATAATTTCTCATGCGGGCTTTCCTTCTTAGGTGACTCTAAGTTTTAGCAAACTGATGATTAAAACTATCAACACAGTTACTAAACATCTGTGGTTATCATGGAATTTAAAATCTTATTTCTGACATAATTTATCAGTGTTGTCTTGTTCTTGTTTCTATAATTTAATAATTAGAACTGGTATTGTTACATTGTTCTAAAGTAGCTACAGTTCAGCCTCAGAGTTGATTAGCAAGTAATTAACAAAGGTGAATCCAGTGTTTAAAGCTCTTTTTCAACCATGAGCTTAAGTCATTTATCCACATTGCCTCTTTAATTGTGAATCTGAATTTTTTAAAAAAGAAAGACACTTATGTTTTCTTTCTACTGAGACTCATTGACATAGCCTCTAATAATGTTATTGTTAAACATATGCATACAGAGAGAGAGAGAGAGAGAGAGAGAGAGAGAGCACAAATGGGGAGGCAGTAGAAAGTAGGCAATAAATCCATAATAGCAACTATAGCATATTCAGTAAAGATGTAAATATTATAGATGTCATGTTTTAAAGATTTAAAATATTATAGAAGTCATATATTAAAGATGCAAATATTACATATTATAAAAAGATGTTATACACAGAACAGTTAACAGTACAAAGTGTTTGAAGTAGAAAACTCTAGACTTCAAGTAATAAAGGGAGCAGAGTGAGCTAGAGCAGTGGTTCTCATTCTGTGGGTTGTGACCCCTTTGTGGGGTCATACATCACATATTTACATTATGATTAATAACAGTAGCAAAACTACAGTTGTGAAGTAGAAATGAAAATAGTTTTATGGTTGGGGGTCACTACAACATGAAGAGCTATTTTAAGAGGTCATAGTATTAGGAAAGTTGGGAGATCTCTAGGGGTTTGGTGTGATTCAAAACAGAGACATATAGGGGAGCCAGACTGGATAGTACATCATCATAAAAACAGAGGCATAAAGGGGAGCCAGACTGGATAGTACATTATCAAATGTTGGTAAGGACTCTAACTTCCATTCTTGAGTAAGATGAAAAGCCACTGAAATATGTTGACCAGAGGTGAGATGTCATCTGAACATGTAGCCTGTATGTGGGCAAGTACTGAAGTAAGAAGAAAGGTTGCAGTCATCTGGGTAAAAGGTGATGGTGGCATGGAGTACAGCACTGTGTGGTAGATGCTGAGAAGTACGCTTGTTCTGTATATACTTTCAAGGTGGAGTTAACATTTACTGAGAGAAGACAGATTATGAAAGAACAATAACTCCCAAGTACCTGGTATGGGCAAG